TTTGTAATTACGATTTTATTAAACTTTATAAACTGGCTAGTCATATACAAACTTAGAAACCGAAATATGCAATGAATCAATTCAGTATTTTATATAGGATGAATTCTGTAATCTTAAATTAGTATTTATAAATCTATTATCTGCACCCGCAGTAACGTACACTGTAACTTAATTATAACTTTGTCTTGACGTCTTTGTCCAGTATATTACCTGTGTTACAGTAACACCTGCAAACGCTTGTAAAGTAATCAAAACATCGCGAAATATTTTAGGTGATATTGTTCGATTTACTACACTGTTTGTTCAAAACAATAGCTCGACAAATTCTAACAGATTTTACAATTGTTCCATGTTGTAAATTTGTATACTGGTATATGTATAACAAATATATCTCTCAGCTCTCGCAGATAATCAGTTTAAGATATGAATACATACAAATGAAGATATGAAATGTTCAAGATTAAATGTGTTGAAACTTTTGACGACCCAAGCCTCAAGGTCAAAGGTGAAGCCCCACAATTTTCGTGGGTAAAGCTGTGATTGGCTAATTTTGAGGAAAGGAATTCTTGGCCAAAGTAAGCATACCTTACGTGAAGGCTCAGCCCGCTAAGTAGGTATGCGTAGGAGACTATGGATTAATGTGCAGCAGAAGTTTATGATCAACCATAAGTGAGTACGTCATCTTTGCCATGTCTGCGTCATGAACTTCTTTTAATCTAGAGTGCAAGTATTTGGCATCGCCTTCACCGTTCTGGGCCGAGTTCTTATTCAGGCCTCATGTTTTCATAAAATCCTGTGTTTATTGGGTTTTTTGGGGTTTTTTTTTGGGGGGGGGGGGAGTCCAACTGCTATCTGGAATCCAACACTCTCTTTAACACAGAGAGTTTTAATGAGTTATTGTGCATTTTACTTAACCTTGAAACAACATTAGTTAATTTTAGTTTTGTCAAAATATTTTTTGAACTTTCAATGGCATCACAAGTCAAAGCTATTTATGAATGTTATGGAAATTAAAAAAAAATTTGACAAAATGTGCAAGAGAAAAGATACTTTGTCATGAAGCTTCATGAAGCTTATTAAATAAGGTTTACCTTGAGACCTGATCATTTAATAAACTGAAGATGCACAAACAGACAACTATAGATGATAGCTGCAATTTTGTGCAGGCCGATATAAAGCACAGAACCCTGGCATAGGAACAGTCATATATTTCAATTGCTCAAATATGGTAAGTATATATTAAAACAGTAAAATGGACCAGTAACATATAAACTTACATGGCAGCTAGACATTGACACATTGCCACACCATCACTCAATTCTGCTGCAGTTGACTTGGCTGCTTCAATAGTGTCAAATGTGTTCAGCTTTAAATGATATATCAATAATTAGTGCATGAAATATGTTAATAATTAGTGGATTTGTATCACTGATTAACACATACCATTTATTGGTTTAAAATATTTTCTTGACAACAAATATGTATAGACAAAATATTTTTTACATATATATTATAAGCATAGCAAAATGTATTAAGAAATGTAATATAAAAAAATAAGTATAATAAAGCGTCTGTATAAATCAATATAAATGTATATAGAGGTACATATATATTATGAAATGTTGACATGAAGTGACAACTAGCTGACTTTATACAAGATCTAATTTGATCTAATGTGTTCTAATCTACTCACCCATATTATCAAACTGTCACATAAGCTCTCTTCATCCATGTTTTATCCAGCAATATTTATTAAAAACAAAATTCGTAAAATATCAGGACATAAATTCTATTTATTATGGATTTATCGCTTTTAATGATCTTTTCACACGAATAGACAAGATCATATTTACCGAGTCTGCAGTACAATCCGCTGACAGCCTATTTACAGTCAGTGATCGTGACGGAAATGAATCGACTCCATCAATATTTCGCTCAATAATATCGCGACGTTTATTACAAAATGACGGTAAATTTCATAACTTGAAAGTGCTAATGATATATTGGATAAACCACTGAGGAAAAATGATCGAGGTACTGTAGACTTTAATAACTAACCGGTCAATTTATATACTGTGCCAGTAGGCCACGTCAAAAATATATATATTCAAGTTGCTACAGATTTGAACAGACGTGATCAAATGCACCCACCTGATATAATTTTGGTATTCTAGTGAAAGAAGTTCAAAGAACACAACTTTTCCATCACAAGTGTTCTTTTCCGTTATATTGCTAGTGATCATAGCCTATTCAAATGACAAGTATCATATTTATAGCCTGCCAGCAGAACCTGATTTCCTGTGAGAAAGGGTGAAAAAATAAGGCTCTGCTGTTTTTGTCAAGTTTTGATTCGTCAAAAACGTACCGCAGAGTACCATACACAGAGGTCTGGTCTGACCCAAACAAAAACCTGTACCCGCTGCCATGCAATGCGTTCGCAATTAGCCAGTGTACATATGACATGCACTCACCCCCCTGAATGTTTAAGTTAAGCTAGTCATTTTGAATGTTTTCAGGGGGTGACAGCCTCTCTTTAGTTCATTGGCTAAGAACAAGGCAACTGGTTATGCTAACACCAACGGTGCCAACACAATGTTGGACTTCTGTAAGTTTGTGGCTGGATGAAACCATTTTATTTCTAACTGTTTTTTAATATCAACCAGTAAATCGATGACAAAAATGAGGCTCTGTTATGGTCATAGACGGATTGGGCTGAAAATGGGGGGGGGGGGGCTGAAAATTGGGTGGTGAGCAAGGGGCCAGATTTGTTGTGAGCTACACACAATAAGTACTGAGCCGTTATCGAGGATTACATGGCGAAAGGTTATGCAAGAAAAATGACAGCAGAAGAGGCATCGACCAGAAGTAATATAACATGGTACCTTCCTCATCATTGTGTGTTTAATAAACCTGGAAAAGTGAGAGTTGTGTTTGATGCTGCGGCAACGTTTCAAGACACGTCACTAAATGAACATCTACAAGGTCCAGATCTTACGAACGCTTTGGTCGGTGTTCTGATACGTTTTCGCCAAGATAGAATAGCATATGCTGCAGATATCGAAGCTATGTTTCATCAGACCAGAGTTATTTCCAAAGATACTGATGCCTTAAGATTCCTGTGGTGGAGCGACAGTATTGATGATCCTCCAGAAGAATACCAAATGCTCATGGCCAAATTTTGAGGGGTGTGGGGAGGTGTGCACCTCCCCTGAGATTGTTTTGCACCTCCCCTGAGAATTTTTACAAAATCATGCACCTCCCCGGCCCTTGGGAAAGTTTCACTGATAGATCATTGTGTGAACAAGTGAAAATTTGGTTGCTTATTATTAAGATATTTGCCGTGAGGCAGGTGTAGAATGCAATAGGATATTATTGTCCTTTACAAGGCATTAAACACTTAGGGTCTACACTTTCAACACTTCGCAAGAAAGTTTTCCTGTGAAATTGAAATGGTGATAGCCATTCCAGGGTGTTAGCTAGCCCATATACTGTCCATTTGACGGACCCTTCCCAATTGAAGTAGCTAAGGGGCTTTCCCAACTGGGTCTACTGGAAGATTTTCATTTTTTCTGATGAGAAAGTGCATTGCGTTTGATCTTATATTATTATATCAAAGAACGTTTTATTTACTTTTTCCCAATAACTATTTCCTCAAAATGTATCGCGTTTCATTCATATTGGGCATGTAGTCACTGAAATGAAATGTACAAAACAAAGTGTAGTCGTTGTGTGCATCCGTGTTCATTCACCGGAAATGAAATATACAAAAGGAAGTGCATCCGGTGCATTTTTCAGTGTTCATTCACCGGAAATGAAATGTACAAAACCAAGCTACCATTGTTTGCATCTAAGGAGAAACACGTTGGAAAAAAACACTATTTATTCCTACACAAGGACTTTGATCGGTCAAAAAAACTTTCCCAATTTACGTTTAACGGACAAAACTTTTTTTTCTGGCTAACACCCTGCATTCATCTCTGTGTCAAGTACCCTTTTATTGCAATGTTTTGAAAGAAACGTTTTAGTAATTGTAATGAAGGACAACATTGGATGAGTTTTACAGTCATAATTCATAAATACACTGATACATATATGTACACCACATGTATAACTTTCCATGGGGGTCGTGAGCTAAACCGTTGCACCTCCTCTAAAATTTTTTCCACCTCCCCCGCTATTTTCACCAAAATCCGGCCTTGCAAATGCTGGTTCATATATTTGCAATTGGGGCAACCTCATCCCCATGCTGTGCGAGTAAGGCATTGAGACAGGTAGCAGACGACAACAAAAGCAAATTTGACCAAGAAGTAACCCGGACACTTCGCAGTCGACGACAATCTAAAATTGGTCTCAACAATTCCAAGGGCAATATGGTTAGTGGAACAGTTAACCAAACTACTGGCAGAAGGTGGTTTTCATCTCACCAAGTTTACCAGCAACAATCGAGACGTGTTGGCCTCAGTACACCCTGACGAACCAGCAAATCCCACTCTCAATTTAGATTTGGACGACCTGCCCATCGAACTCGTGTTAGGATTGCAGTGGGATACAAAACCGGACACATTTTAGTTCAAGACCCTATCAGTCAGTAAACCTTACACCATGCGTGGAGTCCTCTCAATTGTGAGTTCCCTTTACGATCTTCTTGGTTTCATAAGCCCGCTGACATTCCTCGTCAAAGTCTTGCTACAAAATCTGTAGAGGATTGGAGTTCAATGGGATGAGGGGATTCAAGATCCGTATCTTCTCCAATGGCAGAGATGGATTGTAGAATTGCAACACATTCGCAGTATCAGGATACCAAGATGTTTCCTGATGATTCGCAGTACCAAGTATACCAAGATGATTCAACTTTGGCACTTTGGTCGACCTTTCTACGAATGCTGAATGATTCTGCGCAAATCTATTGTGCTTTTGTCATTGGAAAATGTCGTAATGCACCTGTACGAGAATGGTCAATCCCTCGTTTGGAACTACAAGCCGCAGTTCTGTCTTCACGGTTGCATAAGTTAATCTACGACGAGCTACAATTTCGAGGACATTCGTTTGGTCTTATTCTATAACGACGTTACAATATATCAAGAATGAAAGACGTCGATTTGGACACACGTTCCAGTTGATCTTAATCCTGTCGACGATGGTTGAAGAGGAATGAAAATCAAAGCCTTTAAACGTACGTGTTGTTGGTGGTGGATTGGTCCATTTTTCCTCTGGCAAGCTGACGAATGTTGGCCAACTCAGCATGTAGATGACGTTCCAGATAACGATACGGAACTCCAGACAGAGAAGCACGTGATGATCATTTCTCCTAGCGCTTCCTTAGATCAATTCCTACACCAATGTTCTTCATGGCCGCGTCTTCAAAGGCAAATGGCGTGGTTGTTGCGTTTTATCCAGCATCTCAAGAATCCAGTTATTCCCTCGGCAATGCCACCAATGATCACCTTTGCAGAGATGCGAGTTTCATCTTTGAAGATAGTCCGCATTATACAACGTCAGTACTTCCCAAACGAACTTGAGTTACTTCGAGACGGCAAACAATTTATGGCGGACCCCCAAGTGAAAGATTGATTCCGCATGAAGCTCCCTTTATCTATACTGTACACTGGAATTGATTTCTTCGGTCCCTTCCCGGTCAAAAGAGGATGTTCAACAGAGAAAGTATACGGATGTATTTTCGTTTGTTTCAACAGTCGAGCAATTCATATAGATGATGCTAGTTTATTAGAAGCTGACGTGTTCATACAAGCGTTAAGATTTATCTCCAACCGTGGTTGTCCAAAAATTATTTGGAGTGATAATGGTACAAACTTCACTGGCGCAGAAAAGGAGCTTCGTCAATCCATTAGCAACTGGAAGAAGGAAACAATCCAGAATGAGATGAGATCGAAAGAAATTGAGTGGGAGATTTGTCCAATTTCCAAATGGCGTTTTCAACCTCCAGCAGCTAGTCATATGAGTGGGGTCTGGGAACGACTTATCCGCAGTGTAAGAAGATCAATAAAAGCGGTAATCGGTCACCCTCATGCCTTCCTGAGTAAAGAAACATTGCGTACCCTTTTTGCTGAAGTGGTTACCATCCTCAACAGCCGCCCACTCTGCCCTAGCAGTGAGGATCCTAACGATTTGGAACCCCTTACACCAAACCATTTATTACTACAACGCCGAAGTCTCGTTATCCCACCTGGCATGTTTACCGAAGAAGATCTACACTCTCGTAAACAATGGAGACGTGCCCAGTTTTTGGCGAACTGTTTTTGGACCAGATGGATGAAAGAATATTTGCTAATGTTACAAGAACGCCAGAAATGGATTCGGGAAAGAAGAAATCTGGAAGTCAATGATCTTGTGTTGGTAGTTGATAAAAACATTCCCCGTGGACGTTGGTTACTTGGCAGATGTATGAAGGTATTCCCTGGTCGTGATGGCCGTGTCAGGACAGCCGAAATAAAGACAAAGGAATCCACTTTGATTCGCCCAATCTCAAAATTATGTTTGTTGGAAGATGCTGGACAATCATGATGTATCAACTTATACTGAACTATATATACTAATATTTGACTTTAATGAGTGAGTTTATTAAGATAGTGAGTGACATTTAAGTTTATTTATGTTAGGTTATTGAACACTGAATGAATGAACCCTCTTCATTCAGGGGGCCGAGGATGTTGTGGCTAATTCAACTACAATGACTATTATATTATATATTAGTTATGCATGACGAACATCGAATATTTAAACAGGCATATAAAGTCAACACCTTGACTCATGTATGACATGTAAAAGTATTCAAAGTAAGCAAAGCATTAAGCAAGTATTCAGCAAAGTATTCAAAGTATCAAGTAATCAAGTAAACCAAAGCAAAGCAAGCCACATTATATTCTCGCACATTGGAATTTTACAAGTGTGTTAAAACCCGTGTGCCGGGATGGTGAAAGGTGTAAAGAACTAAAGACAAAATAATTAAAAGTCAAGATTGATAAGCGTTTGAACCCTGTTTCGTACACACGCTATCAATTCATATCGAAAGTTTGGCCGAGCAGAAAGAAACAGTAAGGGCTTGGCAACTAGGACGCCCGCCCGTATTATTAACCACCCCATAAAACAACATTTGTATCGCAATGTCCCCTTATGTTTCGTGTACTATTTAAAAAAGGAGCAGAAGTGTTTTATTAGGTTTAAAGCCACGAGCGCGCAGCGCGAGTGGCTTTAGACCTAATAAAACACGACCTGCGAGTTTTTTAAATGGCTTCAAAAACGTTTGCATAATAAGTCAAATCTTTATATAAAAATATTTATATAAAAATCTTTATATAAAAATCTTTATATAAAAATCTTTATATAGTTTGCATAACAATGGTCTTTTGTTAAAGTGTTCTTTAGCTGGTATAAAGACGTATGCACGTGACTAATTTCTTACTCAAGATTGGATAATTGCTTCATGAATTATTAATGAGTTTTTGAAGTAGTCATACAAATTCCAAATTCGACAAAAATATTGTCTCTTCTGGTTGAAAGGTTGGTATATATTTGGGAGTGGGAAACAAGAGTTGCCTGCGGAGGAGGCTAATCCGTAGCCACCATTCAAATTTCTTTGATATTTTCCTCTCTTTATTCTCGGTTTTCTACTGGAATTAATGCACTTCCGTAATCCGTAGCCACCATTCAAATTTCTTTGATAATTACCTTGAAATGGGATCAGAGAAATGGAATGTAATTTCCTTGAATTTAAACTTTAGAAACATCTAAAATACTAGAGTTTTCAATTGTTCCAAATTAGCCGTTCTCACGATGACAAATATTCGCCATTTTGGGTGGCATCTAATTCTCGTTAACCGATTAATGCAGACAATCAGAGGCACACAATTAAAACAATGTGAAC